TCATACTTAGTAATCACAGAATTGATCTATCTACATTAAATCTTACCCTTAATATTTCTTGATATATTTTCTCGGACAATATAAGGGATCTAAAACCCGAAAACATTCTCTTAGATTATTCAGGCCATATTGCTTTATGCGATTTTGGCCTTTGTAAACTGAACATGACAGAATCCGAAACTACAAATACCTTTTGCGGGACACCCGAGTATCTGTCTCCAGAACTTTTATTGGGCCAAGGTTATACCAAAACAATAGATTGGTGGACTTTGGGTGTTTTATTGTATGAGATGTTGACTGGTCTACCACCTTTTTATGAGGAAAATACCAATGAAATGTACCGAAAGATTTTACAAGATGAATTAAGATTTCCTGATGAAGTTAGCAGTGAAGCTCGAAGTTTATTGACAGGGGTGTGTAATCAAGATTAAATGCGATTATAGTGTAAATGTTATGGTCCATATTAAAAAACCTAATAGTTATATTTTTGTTTGTAGCTATTGACTAGGGATCCTAACCACCGCCTTGGTAATAATGGTGCCCAAGAAATTAAAGAACATGCATTCTTTTCTGCTATAGACTGGAAGAAATTAATTCTAAAAAAAGTTCAACCACCTTTCAAACCTAGTGTTGTATGTAGCATGATTTTATATATTTTTATTCTCTACATATTTTTATTGGTCATTTGATTGAATCGACTCACTTATTCCAGGAATCGGCTATTGATACTTCGAACTTTGACGAAGAATTCACTTCAGAGACCCCTAAAGACTCATTAGTCAACGATTCTCATCTTTCTGAGACCATACAACGACAATTTGACGGATTTACATTCAATCCTAATGAAGGAGTAATGAGCGGAAGTATGGCAAATTCAGTAGATATTTAAATTTTTGGATTTTATAATTTGGTGCATCTGCTCCGTGGTGCATCTCTAAGAACATGATCAATTTGCTTTAAATGTGATTTGCTAATATTCTTATTTTATTATTTATATAATAAAAAATTAAGAATTTATAAATAAATAATAATTTATTTAGCTAAAGAGTGTAAAGATTGTTAATCTATTATTATATAAAAATAAGTGATATTTTTGTGCATTTAAACTAAAAGTTTAAAAAAAATTATATTAAAATACAATATTAAAGTATATATACTAAGTTATATATAAAGTATTAGAATTTGTATAAATTTTATATAAAAAATAAATATATATAGTATATATAATATAAAATTGTTTTATAAACTTTGTTAAAAAAATTTTAAAAAATTTGTATAAAAAAAATTTAAATTACTGTTTATAAAAAAGGAAATTGTATTGTAAATTTTAAACTTCAATCGAAGATATCTCAACTTTTTTTCATCGAATTTGGTCAGATAGATGCCAAGATATCTTTGTAAAATTTCGAATGCATATAATTACATAACTGTAAAAATTTGATCGAAAATATCTCGGCACCAACCTGGCAAAAATCAATGAATTTGTTTTTATATGAATTTTCTTAATCTCTACGAATAAAATTTATTGATTTTGGTCAGATGAGTGCCAAGATATCTTCAATCAAGGGTAGAGATCATTTATTATATAATTTTTGTAATACGGTTAGACCTCCTAAATGCATGGCCATAGAGAGGTAAAAATCTATAAATGTCATATAAGTTGGGCCAAAACAAGGCCATGCATTTAGAGAGACTATGCATTAGGGAAGTCTGACTATATAGCATGATGTTTATAAAAATAAATATATATATTTTTTATAGTAAAAAAATTTTTAATAAATCAAATATTTATTTAATAAAACAAATATCAAACCAAAAGTGAAGAAGAAAATCTAAACACAGTTTTAACTAGCCTAACAAGTAGTAAAAGTCAACTAATAAAAAAGACAAGATTTTTTTAGAGCAGAAAGAAACGCTGCTATGGTTTTTAGACTGAGCCAGAAGTTAAAACT